AAAAAAGGAGCAATATAGAATTAGTGGAAGGGAGTGGTCTACTATAGGAGATCATGAAAGAGAAAAAACCTATAAATACCAACGGCAACAAAAAAAGAATACACAGCAATACACGCTTGCAATGATCATCATCCCCAATTCTTTTGAAGCTTTGTGGTGACTCGAAGTGTTAATTTATGAATATTCATCATTTTTCTTGAATGTATGTTTCGATTTTAATTTGAAAACACTATAAAGATCGTGAATTTGTTCTTTTTTAAGCCATAATTAAGCTTTTGAATTTGAAATTGCTGAATTCATGTTCATATTACAACCTATAGTTTTCGGTGTTTTAATCATTTAATTTCTTAATTTTTAGTGTAGTTTTGTTATTCGATTACATATTTGGATAAAAAACTCAATTATTAGTTTGAATCATCTTTTATTTTGGGTTTTTGTCTCTCGTAATCCCGGAACCCAACTAGCTTGGGAGGGAGGGAGTGTCATGATTGTCTATTAAAGATTTCCAAGCCTATTGCGGCCCATTTAATTTAGTTTTATTATAATATAAAATTCTAAAAATATCATTAGGATTAGTCGTAGTTTATCTTGCAATGTTAATTTGATTCATCTATCTAAATTATTGAAAGATTGAATGCCTTCTAGAATGCTTTTCAATCATTGTTTGTATTTCTTTTTGTTACAAAATCCTCTTAATTAAGATCAGGATAAAAGAAGTTATAATAGTTTTTCCGACAACTACAGCAGGAGTGCTATTCTAGATGGCACTAAAAAGAAAGAAAAAAAAACTAAAAATACATTTAAAAATTTATTAATAGTCAACTTTGATCAATATATTAATTTATAATTTTCATTACCAAGATGAAATACTCACTAAACGAAATCAGAAAATATACAAAGATTAAATTATAAATATTTACTCAAAATAATAGAGAGAGAAGGAGCACAATGATGTGCGTGAAACTCAAATTTGACATATTAATAGTGATGTAGTTTGGTTTTCAACCATCAACAAACTTTTATTCATAACAAAATTTGCTTAAGCATTCCTATTTGATACGGTCAAAATAAAATAAAATTATAATTTTTCCTTTTTTTGTTGGACCAAACTGAATTTTCAATTTATAAATGGTTAAAAATAAATAAAGCTCTTTCAAAAAAAAAAGAAAAAAGAAAAAAAAAGAAACAAAGAAAAGAAACAAAGAATGAAAGTTAGGAAATTCAATTTTTACAAACGAGGGATACAAGCATTGTAACAAAAAAGACCAGAGGCTACAATAGAATCTGTACACCCACTAAGCCACTATTACTTTAGCCTTCCTGCTTCTGGTCTGGATTCCTCATTCCAGGATCCCTAATTGACTGGCTTCATCATTTGTAGTTCGTTCTCTAGCATCAACAATCATAGAAACCACCCTTTTACGTACAATTCAACAAGGATGAAATAGATAAGATTTGAAGTTGAAGGATGAAATTCACTAAATAATACAAGTTCTGGGGCCTTTTTGATGTCCTAAAACCCCATGTAAACAAAAGATTTATAACAAAGAAGACAAGCAGCAAGTGTGGTTGCTCATTGGCGCCGTCACTTAATTTCTTCAGCACACTCTTGAGAATTATCCTCCGGCTTTTCCTGCTCCGCATACCTTTTCAGCCATGATTCACCTTTTCAGATTATAAGAAAAAAAAAAAATAATAATAAAGAATAAGTTCAACATCAATAGCAAAGCATCATTGGTTTTGGAAAAGTAAAATGCAGATGAGAGGGAAAATAATTTGATTTGAGAAAATAAAGATAAACTAATAAAGCAAAGAAAAAAAATGATAATCTGGTTAATGAAAAAATAAATAAAAAAACAACAGCATTTGTTAATCTCTTACTTTGTAAAGGAGACAGATATAATCATCTTTGTCTGAAATGCCATGAACAACAACCATTTGAAGTTATAAAAATTTTCTCAATAACATGTTGAAGTTGTGGTTTAATACCCTACTGAAATCTGAAACAACTCCTCTTTGCCTGCTCTATGTTTTTTCTTTTGGAGTACATAATATATAAGTTGTAGAGTTGAGTTACATATAGGTGAAAGAAAGTCATTTGAGATACAATTTTAGGGATTCTTCAAGATTTATATTGTTAACATTTAGATATTCTCATAAATACTTATATCATAGAAAGTATTTTCATCATCAAATTCTTTCATTAGGGATCTTAAATCATAAATGACAAAAATAAAAAATAAAAAATTATCATCTTTTGAGGAGTGCTTTCAATGGTTGAAATAAAATCAGAAAATCCCGAAGATCACGGACTTTAAATGCCAACAAATCTTGAAGATCTTTTATTTTTTATTTTAAGATAGGATTTGTAACTTATAATCACTAGTTAGACAATTAGAGAGTTAGTAGTTAGCATGACAAGAGAATTCTATTACCACAACATAGACTAAATTGATTATAATTACAAAAAGAGTTATTTTGGTTTTTTCTTGCAATAAGTTATTTTTTAATCTCAAATACAATGAAATCCATTATTTGTATTTGTATTTTTGTCAATTCACCAATAAAGTCTTCCTATTACCCCTTAAATCAATTGAGCTCTTATATTTTTTATCGGAATGACATATTAAACAATTTTAAAATTTTAAGAGACAAGTGGGAGACTTTGGATATTATATAAGGATAGATTGATATATTTATCCTAACATTCATAGTGTTTTAGATTTTTGAAAAAAATAACTATCAATTAGCCTTTTATCTAGATTTGTCGATTTAATGGTCAAGTGAAACTAAAATCATGAAAAATTAAGGATTTTTCTATATTTTGAAAAAAAGAAGAAGATAAATTTAACAAAAGAAGAACTAATTGGAAAGTATGGAAGATCAGTTTATTTGATTGAATTCTTTCAACTTTCATTTTTTTGCATGGTTGATTTTTAGGTTTAGTTTCAAGATCTATATTTGAAATAACAAAGTGTTTTCTTTAAAAATTCAAATATATTGCTAGATAGTTTTCTTTCTTGCTAAGTTGTTTTTTGTGAACTTCGGGGATGATAAATACCACACTAAGGATATACTGATTGTAACCAAAAGAAAATTGAATAGCTACAATATATGATGTTGGAATTTAATATTACAATACATGGAAGAGAAAGAAAGGGAGAAAGAGACATAGATTTTAATAGTTTTTCTTTTTACTTAATTTATTTGAACTAAAAATTTAATTAAATTTTTGTTAAATATTTTAAAAGGGAAAAAATGATAAGGATTGATGATATTTATTTTACATGGCATTTAATATACCGTCTTGTTGGTTCTACATAATGCCTTATATTGCTAGTCTACCCATATCAGTCTTCATAATTTAACAAACTTCTTCTTTTACATCTCCATTATCGCCGCCCATAGTCTTCTCTCCGTAACGAAGAAGACAACAAAACGAAGAGATTTTGTCCAATTTTTTTTTTTTTTTTTGAAAATTCTAACCCTAGAAATTGATTTTTTTGATCGAAATTGGGAGATTTTGTGTGAAAGCTATTGGGGGAGGAGGAAGTGGAGCAATAGAACCAAGGTGCAATTGATGTTTGGAACAAACCACTAATTGTAAGTAATAGAGATATATCAAAGGAAAAAGAAATTTTATCCAATTGACAATAATATTACGTGCTAAAATACATCACTGTTTGGATATAACTAGAGAACCACAACATTCTTTATTCACGACAAAATTGTGATTCCGTTCATTCGTTACAAAATTCTGATTTTATTACATCACCATGACAAACTCTTAGCACCAAAATTCAACTTAGGAGGTAGGACAAAACTGACTCTTAGCAAGTAGCAAGTAGCAAGCAAAACAATGGAGGAACTCCATTATGTGACCCAAGACGTTACCATTATAAAGAAACTAAAAGAATTGGAGTCTTTTAATAATAAATAAACAGTACCCCATCTCTTTTGTTTTCTTTTGTTCGTTTTTGTTTTTTTTTCCTCGCTGGGTTGACCAACAACCAAGGCCCGGCTTTTGGGCACGCACGTGCTAGGTCTTGGTCGCCTAGCCCGGCCTTTTTTTTTCTTCTTCTTTATATATCCAAACCTTTGCTGCCCAGCCTTGGCCTTCTTTTCGTTTTTTTTTTTTTTCATATATATATATTGGACTCATGATTGACAAACATATCTTTATGTTACAATGGTCACTTTGAAACATTTTTAATTTTTGATTTTATTACAAATTTGTAATGACCGATAATTTTTTGATATAATTTTATTTATAATAAATTTGGTTTTTTAATATATGAATTTTGGAATAAAATTTTAGAAAGTCAATATTTTATTTTTTTAAATATATTATTATAATTTATACAATAAATTATTTTTGCATTTTTAAATGAGTGTTTTATTTTTTAATATATATATATATATATATATATATATATATATATATAGAGAGAGAGAGAGAGAGAGAGAGAGAGAGAGAGAGAGAGAGAGAGAGAGAGAGCTAAAAGTATGTTTTAGATAGTTTGACTTTTTTTTTTTTTAAATAATGAGTTAAAAAAATTCACAAGTTTTATTTGCTTTTTTATATATATTTATTTAGAATTTATCAAAACCAATTTTATTGTATTTTTTATTTTAATCTATTGACTTAAATATATTTCTATAATTTAGGTGGGTTTTTTTGTATATTTTTCTATTTATTATTCTATGTACTCTCAAAACTTTCTATTTGTATTACATTATATGAATCGTTAACCCTATTTATACAATGATTGTGTTAGCGGTCCAGTTTATTCTCGAAATATGAAAAGAAGAGACAAAAAGGGAAGCATCAACGTTACAATGTTACATCAGATTTACAAGCTTTCTCACAACCAATGCAGTTAGAATTAGAGAATACAAAGGAGAGAAACTTACACTCAGAAAACTATGTACGTGTAATAGAACCATGGAAATCATCAATTAGCCAGGAAATTTTTACTTTAAGGTACGCCATAACAAGCTTACAAGAACGATAATACGCTGCGTTTCCAAATAGAAGACTTCCTCCTGATTGGATGTGTTGGTGTAAAATTGAGCAGCCCAAACATCTCCTTCAAAGCCTGCTCTTGCTCACCAAAACCAACTAGCTTTGCCACAAGAGTGGCACTTTCTGTGATGTGGTCCATATCTATTGTCTTGGTCCATAAGCGATGGACCAGCTGCAACCTTCTATTGTTTCCGCTTAATGGAATACCCCACTTCAGGAAAAGATTCTCTCTTTCTTCTCTAGTGAGCCTCTTGTGCATTTGCCTGGCCAGCATCTGCCTCTCGTGACTCAAAGCCTTCTTGCTGTTCACAAAGGAAATATTTTATCTTGGAATGCTAGCAGAAAAAAAAATATATATATAAATATGACTTGATGTGGAAATGAAGGTAAAATACCTTGAGGTGGATGTTAGAACTTGTCCATGAACAATAGTTCCGCTACCCCTGAATAATGTGTCCTTTAGAAGGGACATTCGCCTGATCTCTACCTCCATATAAAAAGAATCTGCAGGATCACCTTTAAATAGCAGGAAGAAGTGGGTCCTGTGGACCAGTGAGACATTGCAGGCATGCCAAAGTTCGATGATCTTGCTTTGCATCCTCTTAAATTCTGATGGCCATTTTGAAGCACTTTCTGCATCATCTTCAATAGGATCCAAGCCAACATTTTTTACATTCTTTGCTGACACACCGTCTTGAATTGGATCCAAGCCTATATCTTTTATTTTCTTTGCAGACACATTATGTTGCAGTGCATCCAAGCCAAGATCTTTTACATTTTTTGCACACAAATTATCTTGCTTTGCATCCATGCCGACGTCTTTTACTTTCTTTGCGGACACATTATCTCGCGTTGCTTCCAAGCCATCATCTTCTACATTCTCTGAGTTCTCTTCTGTTGTTTCTTGTGCCTATCAAAAATAGCAATAATATAAAAAAAAACGAAAGAATAAAATGACTGGTCTAATTGAGCCAGAACTTTCTGCAGCTTCCAAGAAATGAATAAAAAATGGAAGAAGAAGACAATGGATTGGGAAGAAGCTGGTCTACTACATCCTAAGACATTGCAGAACTTTTTCTATTCCCGCTAGATTTGCAAGGACATTTAGTTATTGACGCATCAGCAAAACATTCAGTTATTCCTACCATTATCTTGCAATAGGATTCATCATTGAGAGATAAATAAGATAGTAAGAAGCTCATTCATTTAATATTTAATTTAGCATCCCATAGCCTGAATATGATCTAGTATAAGGAATGACGATGAAAGAAAATAAACACTCACCAAATCATCAGCCATGTACAGCAATCCCGCATCTGAGTTACCAACACTTGCAGTCCTCCAATCAGGTGAAGTTCCAACACTTCCCTCTTTGAGCTCATTAACAGCACAACTAAACATAGAGTTCTGAGATACATTTCTTGAAAACCTTTCGACGTCAAGATCATACTTCAATGCAGTAGGTTTCCTTAGAAAACCCTCAGGTCTCCCGGGGAAATCTTTCTCAAACCCAAATGATGGCGTGCTCTCATTATCTTCTACTTTCTCGAAACAGAAACCTGGGGAGTTATTCATAAGCCTTGCTCTACAACTTCTACTCCTGATCAAAAAGCTTCTTGATTCAGACAGGCTTGCTTCCAGCAGCCATAGAGAGGGCTTTTCAGCAGATGGTATAATAAAAGTGGATTGCATACCATTCAACTCTTTCCGTTCCTTCAATGGGGGTGACTTGAATTCTCTTGTTGATTCAGACAGGCTTGCTTCCAGCAGCCATGGAGAGGGCTTTTCAGGAGATGGTACAGTAAAAGTGGATTGCATACCATTCAACTCCTTTTGTTCCTTCAATGGAGGTGATTTGAATTCTTGATTTGCTCTCTCTTCATTTCCGACCTTTGTTAAACCTAAGGTATCTGTTTTTATATCTGGAGGAGGCGAATTAGGTTCTTCAAATCTGTATGGCCTAGACTCTGATGTCTTCGAATTTGGATATTGGTTTATGCTTGACTCTTCCACTTCGATGCATTGAACTTCCTTCCAATTATCATCAAAATTTTGATTAGTTTGTTCTTCAGCATCCTTTTTCTCATGCAGATCATTTCCTACAAAATTAGAGGTGCTAATTGCGTGCTCCAGAGAGAAATTTTCTGGAAAGTAATTCTCTTCAAACTCTGGGAATTGGATGGAGTTTGCCTCAGAACTTATGCTACTTGGCACATCTGATGCATCAAAAGATCTGGCACCTAGATCTAGGGAGGGAGGATCTTCTGAAATGAGTGAACATGATACTGAATTGTCAGATCTGAAGGAATTCCGCACTCGCAATTTAGGGTAGTGATGATCTGGATCTGGCTGGATGAGGACACACAGGAATCAGATATGGATAGAGAAGGCACATTGGGATGTTCTTCTATTCCGCACTAGCTAGAAATGTTCTTTTTTGTTTTTTATGGTACTAGATAAAATGCTGAGAGTAAAAAACAAAATGCATACCCATATCGTTGAAGCTCTGTCACCTTCAGATGCTTGCAGTAGATTCTCGACCTGAGACTGAGCAAGATCGAGTCGCTGAGTCAGCTCTGCAACCTCTTTCATTAGCTGCAGGAGAAGGCAGGGGTGTTAAAATTCAAAATTTAACAATTAAGGAAGTACATTAACAGATTTCTTCTTGCAAATGCATCAAATGATACTTAGAATATGTTTGGGATATGAGCTGATACTTGAATTTCAGAAGGCAAAAAATCACCAATATTTGTTACAAGTGACCTGAGAAAATTTGAGGAAAACAAGAAAGACTAATTCGAAAGCGGGGTAATTACAGGCCTAATTTCATGTAAAGTTCAATGGAGTACCTAACCACTTTCTACTGTAGTTAAACTCTCCCACAAATTTTCACAACAATAAAGAATTTAAGATGATGTAGTATTGCAGCAGAGATCATAGGTTCAAACCAGAATGCCTGAGGTTTTAGCCCACACCGCATTAATCTATGAGTTTAAAATGCATAAATAACATATTCAGATGGAGGTTTTGAATGATAGGTCTCTAATTCATGTAATTTGCAGAAGGTGATCGACATATTGAGAGCCTAAATGCAAGGAGAGTGATGTTTTGATACTTCATGAACTTTCCCTTCATCAGTCTAAAAAAGGCTCATTACTTATTTGTTTATTAGTCCTTCTTTATTCATTATGACCCTGCTCAATGAGGCAGGTGCACTTCCTCTGTAAATAATCTCGACATGTACTTCCATTTCTAATGAAAGTTGGGAGTAATGCCTTGATACTAAGATGTAGGAGCAGGAGTGCAGGACTCTAATTGATTTTTATTAAAGGTGTTCAGATGTGATGCTAAGAGACTATGCCCACCTTTTCAATCTGAAGGTCTTTTTCTCTCAGTACTGCAGTGGAGTCTGATCTGACGGAATCTGGTCGAGTATTTTTCAATTCACTTTCCAATCTAGCCAATTCTTTTTGCAGTTGCTTTACCAGTGTTTTATCAGAGACGACTACATTGACCTGTGCATTGGTTGTCACTTCTTTAGCACAACTTGCAAACAGAAGTGTGTTTCTAGATTGTTCAACATGGCTTCGTGCAGGGCTCATGGTACAGATGATGGCAGTCCTAGCATTGCCTCCTAAAGAGGACTGCAATATTCGAGTCAGCTTTGAATCTCTAAACGGAATATGTCCATTTCTTCCTTTGCTGCATCCGATCATAAAGTTAGACGAATCAGAAAAAAGGCATTGGTAATTCATTTTATTGTAGGTCTTGACTCATGCACACATTAAAGAACTAAAGGAAGAGAGGAAGAGGAAGTCGTAAAAGAATAGAAGATTATGTAGTCATAAAGTTTAGCCTCAGGATCTGACATCTTGAAAAATAATATAGACCAAATTGGCTTAACTCAGACACTTGCAGTACTATTCCATCACAATAGTAACTAAATGAAAATGCTGCCAACACTATTTCTGAGTATTACTGGAATTCAAAAATTAAATCCTAACCTTAGCTTACGGATAACAGTTCCCAATGTCAGTAGACTACGATTTATGTGGCAACCTTCTTTCAACCTCATGCCAGCCGATAATGACTGAGAAGCGCGCTCACTTCCTGCTAGATCAACAAAATTCTGTGCAGAAAAGAATGATTGTTACGCATTCTTGAGTCAGTATTACCAGCTAAACCAGAGATCCAAAAACTTTTCACAATGCATACCACAGTGGCAGCAAGAGTGCTGGACTTGTAATGGCCTACAAACTCACGCGCGGAACTTTCAATCGTCTAGTGTATGCACATAATCAGTAAACCATATAATAAATGATTACCAAGTAGTGATAATTTGAAATTTCAAATTGAAATGAATATCCAGTTATACCAGCCTCAGAATCTGATGAGATCTAGAGCTTGCTTCATTAAGGGAGGTCTCCCCTATTTGTCTCTGAGCTGCAAAATCACCAGGATGCAACGTTAAACTCATGAGCATGACTACCAATGAGCCTGTTTAGCTCAACAGGCATCCTTGTCCCCCTCCCCTCTAGGGGTCTCGGATTCAAGCCTCTCCCTTGGGGGAAAAAAAAATCTCAAAAAGCATGACTTACCTTCACAGACAGATAGAAGTTCTTTAAAATGATTCCAGTCCCTTATAATTTCCTCTGTGAGCCTCTCCACAACAGTGCCTCTCTGTTAATACAGTTAAATGTTATATGAAGAAAAAAAAGCATACAGCAGTTCTTCACACCTAAAATGAAAATCACCTCTGGATCATCTAGAAGTCGAAGAGGAGTTGTATCTGTACTGAGGAGGTCTCTGACAGATTCGTTGTAAATCTCCATGGCAGAGAACTTCAAAGTAAACTCTCTTTCCTTATGCTACAAAAGGAGGAAAACACAAAATATTTTTGTTGATCAAGGGAGTTCTAAGGGATACAATACAATGCAGGATCTAGAGTGATGAAAGCAAATTGTATCAACTGTAAAAAGCCTTTTCATTACCTTCTCGACATAGTCATATATATCTGCTACAGTGTACTCGGTAATTCCACTCATAGTGAATGTTTTTCCACTACTTGTTTGTCCATATGCAAATACACTTGCTGAAGAAATTGAAAAAGAGAAAAGAAAAGAAAAGGCAAACAACACAAATGTGAAGTTCAGGGTAAATTTCATGAGACATTAAATGATAAACAAGTAAAAAATGGAGGTTGTACTCACAGTTTATCCCACTGACTACTGAAAGAGCAACTTCCTTGGCTCCTTCTCCATAGACTTGTCTTGTGGAGCAACTTGGCCCAAATACTCTATCTAGAACCAACAAATTAACCAAAGAAAAGAAAGAAATAAGACGGATGAGATGAGTATTTGAAAATATCCTGTGATGAAAAAGTACATGTCCATAAACGTCCTCCTAAGGACAACAGTAGTGAACATGCAAAAGAAATGCATTAATATAAATCAGCAACTTTACAACATTGTTGTAGAAGCGAAAGTGAAAAGGGTAAGGCCAAAACTCAGGAAAGAATCAGCATTAGGAGATCTGTATACAAGAAATAAGAAATAGGAATACATAGCAAAAGACAAGTTCCAAAATCATGAGAAGGTTCAAGCAAAGCGTTTCCTGTACAAGCTGAATAGAGTAAGTCACTCATTGATAGATGACAGCAGATGTGATATAAGTTATAGCTAACCATGACACCATATTAATCATTAGTGATATGAGAAGAACTGCAGAATCGCAGATGCAATTAACGAGGAAAATCAAATCAAACTAAAGGAAGTGATAAGCAATTTCTCACCGAATGTATAAACTGTTGGATACATGGAACGCTCTGACACTGAAAGGTTATTCTTGTATATGACAGTGTCATCATTAATGCATTCCCAATCTGATACATCATTCTTTGTGATTTCCTTCTCATTCAAAGGCCGCAACCGGACTGAAACCAAAATTTTCTCCTCACCACCACCACCACCAGTCAGCCCCTGCATTGGCCCATCTACATCAGCCACCCCCATCTCTCCCATTCTCTCCAAACAAAACTGAAAATCATAACATAGGTAAAGAAGTTAATCTGTCACCAATTGTCATATTCATATAGACAGACCATAAACAATCATTCTGTCTCTCTTCTCTCCAGCTCTCACCCAACCATTTCCTTCCTTATTCAGCCAATGGCGCATGCTTTGAATTTGCCTGATAAAACAATTTTGTTTGGCTCCCAGATAGCATAAGGGTCACCACCAAAACTTAACAGCCACAATCATCTTAAATCTGACAAACTAATCATGGGTCATCGCTAAATTCACCGACATCTTGTCTCAAGCGAAGAAACCTCATTTCTTTAGTCTCCGATTTCTCATTTAATAAAACAAAGCATGGACAAATACATAAGCCAATTCATCGGCTATTACATTATTCATTTTGAGTCAAACAAACATTTGCCTATCTAATTAAAAAACAAACAAATTTGGAGTTTTCTTCTCTGGTCCCATGTTACAGTCTGTCAACAGCCTCCTCTCATGTTCTATACACATCATTCTCAATAAAAAAGACAAAACAAAACATGCCCTTTTAAAATAAAACCAAAATGCATTGTAACAGATAACTTATGATTTAACCTTGGAAATTGAAAAAGAATTGACTTACAGTTCTCTCTCAAGGAATGTTTTTGAGCTTTCTGAGAATAATCATTGACTCCATAAATTGTTAGAGAATTCTCAAATTGATCCCTGCAACATAAAAATCTTCAAACTTATTAACCAAAACCCAACAAAGACAGAATCTTTGACAGAATTAAAGAATGTAACTTTAGAAAACCAAACTTCTTGCATCTCACAATCTTTTTTCTTGGCTGCATTGGCTTGAAACAATTCAAAAATAACAAGAAAAGATCTAAAAAATTTAACATCCTCTCACCTTTTGAATTTGAAGGAAATGTAGAGGGAGAGGGGGAGAGAAGGAAATCAAGAGGACATGAAGATTGAATCTTTAATTTATTTTCTCTTCATGGCCTATTTTGGGGTCTTAAATGCTAGATCTTTGAAGGCAAATGAATGGATTTTTTGAGTGGTGGTTATGGAGTCTAACTGGGGTGGTTAGTTGCTTTCTTATGTTGCTCTGTTGGATTTTATTATTAGCCTTCGATTTAAAACTACCGCGCTAAAACACCAAACCCAAAAAAAAAAAAAAAAAAACACCGAACTTCCCATTAATATTTATCTGTTACACTGACTAATTCAGACATCTTAGGATGTTTTACCTGATTTGCTTAGTTATTGCTCATCATTACATTCTGACATACATCCCTTATACTTTTCAATTATCTTCATATATATCTTTTATCTTGCTAGCTCTAAAATAAATTGTTTCAGCTTTTATGTAACACAAAATTTGTTATTAGCTAGATTTTTGCTAACTATCTGCATCCAAACTATTAAATTTACAAAATTAGTTTTTTTTCCTACATTTTTTTTTCTTTTGAATTCAAATTCTAGATGAGAGGAAAAAATCTATTAATTTATCATGTGACATGTTGTATATGTATTTAGGTGTATGTGTAATCTATATTACTTGTTATCAAAGATTTAGGTCGATAGGTTTGATTCTTGTAATCAATACTTTTAATAATATATTCTTAAAATATTCAAAATCATGTGTTAGGAAATATTTTTTAACTACGTTTGAAAAGAAATTAATCTCAAAGTACACGAAAGTTGATATGGAGACACTCTTATTACTAAATTTAATATATATATAATGTGTGTGTATATAAAAATTAAGGGAAAAAAGAATGTTATGTCAATTGAAATAGCATAGCATTGCTATTGAAAATAGTTAGATAGATGCTTTTCAGTTTGTTTAGTTATGTTGACATGGATAGGTTGGGTTGTTTGTTCATTAGTGTCCAAGATCGAGATTCGAGACTAAGATCTGGTCAATATTTTAATTAATTGAGGTAATATTAATTAGGATATAATCATAAAAATGAATTAGGTTTTTTTTTTTTTTTGGCATTTCTATATTTAGGTGTTCGAATGATAATAAACACTATTTTTGAGTTGAAATAGCTAATCTACGTAAACTATTTCTCTCTCCTCTCCTCATAAATAAATAAATAAATAATTTTTTTTAAAAAAATGAAAATGAAAAATAAAGGACGAAGGAAAAAAAAAACCCAACATGTTTTCTTTCAAATCTCACCATCCCTCTATCCATACATTCGAGTTCCAGATCTAAAAAAGTTTGCAACTTTTTCTTTATTTTTGCTAATAAAAAGCATTTCAACAATTATATTTTCATTTGAAACAAACTTGGGCTCCAAGAAAAGGGGTGGGGCCATTAATTCCATTCAGTGATGCCCGGTCGAGATCTTCGATTAATTAAGAGCATTAAAATTTTATTATTATAGTAGTATAATAATAAAAGATGCAGTATATACTTTTTTTTAAAAAAAAATTCGAAAATTGATCACTCTTTAACTACTTTTGATGAGTACCATTTGATCTTAAAATCGAAGGTTTTAAGCCCCTCATATCTCTTGAAATTTTAAAAATAGGTATAATTCTTGTGGTAGTCATAATGACATTTGAAAAATAAGATTTGAATTTTAAATCTTACGTTAAAAGTCTAAAACCCCTGCCATGGGATTATTTTTTGTGGTTTAGTATATACGAGAAACTTAAGTGGGAATGGTACGGCAGCAACGAAGCCAAAACCTGATCAAGAAAATATCGGACGGCTCAGATGCACGCAATAGGAGGAAACAGTAAAACTGAGACACCATTACAGCCATTGAATTTCTTGCATTTGACCGAGACAAAGAAAAAGCTGCTAAACGAAGAAAGTGGGGACTATTTTTGACGAAAAGAAATGAAATAATGTAGCACCCCATGTGGTGAGAGAGAAGGAAAAAATTGCTTCATGTTCGTCCCTGTTTAGAGGACCCTTTGCTTTCTTGTGTCTGCAAAAAATGTCCATGAAACAACTTTTGATAAAGCTTAGAGAAGCAAAATTATATATATAAAAAAACCAATTCGTGATATTGTGGGGTACGTTACTCCTCCTATATATTATTTACCTTTCTTTTTTAGTTCTACAATATTTCAGAATCGAACTTTATTTGGAATTGCATGGATTGCATGTGAAGTTCTCCATTTTCATATTCTTTTTTGGATTTATATATTGCCGACAGTGAGTGTTGAATTCAGTTTCTCTATTTCTATCATTTTTTTTTTAAAAAGAATTTCTTGCATGTAAGATGTGAGTAATTTATTATTGCCAATTTGCAAAATTATTGGTGCTATCTCTCTCTCTCTATATATATAGACCCAGCTTGTTTGTAATAAATAGGCCAGCATGCTCATAAATCATTTAGTTAATTTATAATTGACTTCGTCTCATGTGAGCATAAATGTCCGTAGAATACTAGCTAGTTCTAGGTATTTGGAAATCATTTTTTCTCCCTCACGAAAGGAGCAAGATGAGGAAGAAATATCGTTTTGAATTTTTGACTTCAGAGATAATTGTCGTAAAGAAGCATCATAAAAGATCTATATACATTCGAGTGAGTTTCACGTAATTTTATCAACTAATATATAATTTCTTTTATTAACTTGGAGAAAGATGCCTTATCTCTAGAAAATCTCTCACACCATGTGAAAAGGGATAAGAAAGAGAGTTTCTATACCGTTTTTAAAGAAAAAAGAAGGTATAAATCCATGCATATGAGAACAAAGGAATTAAGTATAGCCAGTACGTAGCACATGAGAGAGACTTTTCCATCATGACTTACGGTAGCAACTAGCAACCAAACCATCCATCTCATCATAAATTCCCCTATTCCTTAAAAATTCAAGGACTTCAATATTAATTTGTCAAAAATGATGATTGATGCTCGTATGCTAGGTGTTTGATGCCTCATAATTGAATATCCAACTAACTTGAATTTTGTGGAAGACCTGTATTAGTAATTTACAGTGGTCATCTCGATCAATCTCCATCATTAAATTGAGGTCTAATTTTTTTCAATAAAAAAAGGATTAAAATGAGTGAACTAATAATTGGTTCCCTATCAATCACGGGTCTATTATATGTTTGAATCTTTGCATAACTTGAAAACCAAGCAGGTGATTCTTGAGAAAATTTGGGGGCATACCAAATGGGCTGCTTGGCCTTTCTGCTTGGCAGTGGCATAGCCTTTGTAGCAGTATTAGCTTTCTAGGACCCGCATATCTATGCATACCTTAGCAAAATTGGATGTATACATGTAGCTCTGTTTTTTTAAGTAGCATGATTAATTAGAGACTCGTCAAACCTTATGTTTATGGGCTGTAATCGTTAAAGATACTAATTTTGTGTTTGTGGGCTGCAGTCATTAGAAAATTCGACGTTTCTTTTATATATATATATATATATATAAGTATTTGATTAGTTTAAATCTCAAATTATTCGAGAAACTCATCAATTTTGTGCTTATGGACTGCAGCTGTAAGAGGTTGGTTATTTGTTACTATATATAGATTGTCAAAGTTAGATGGAATGTTTACAGCTGAGGGTTAGGTTTTTGCTGATGCTTATTAGGTATTAGCTGTAAAGAGTTATCTTGATCAGTAGGTATTAAATACTAAGCCAAGAACAGACATGAAAACATAATGTAGTTTCGTGGGTGATTAGTTTGTTTAATAAGCCATCTTTACTGGCAATCACCCTGGAAGTGGAGTAGGTAGCCGTAGAAAAAGAAAAATGTTAAGGCAAAAGAAGCCTATCTATGCCTAAACAAAACCAAACAAGAACATTTAGAAGCGGGCGGGGGGGGGGGGGGGGGGGGGGGGTGGGGGGAGGGGTTGTGGGTCGGGTGAAGGTATTTTAAGCAGAATAGATAACATAACAATGTTAATTGTCCTTAAATATTCTTTCTAAAATTATTTTCTGAAAAATCTTATTTATTAAATGAGTGGATCTTATATATTCATTTTTTGTGATTTTCAAAAAAAATTTCAATAAAATAAATATTATA